AAGGTATAGGACTGGTCGCCGACAGCATCAGCCCATTGTTGGTAAGACTCTTTTGTACCGCGTTGATAGATCATGAAGTTTCTTGCGGACGTTCCACCAAGACATTTTCCTCGAGCATAATGCACCTGGCGGTTTGCTGCTCCTGCTTGAGGTGCTGTGATGAAGTTCCAGTCGATAAGAGGATTGGTGTCTGCAGGGTCCGTACCGACGAAGAAGACATCTCCTGCTGGTGTCGAGCTGAGAAGTGGATTTGTGACCTTGAAATGTGTCAGATTTTGGCAATAAGAATCATTCGAAATCATACCTCATACAAAGATCCCGCCTCAACGACTGCAACACTGACAGCTGGGTTTTCGGAAAGTCTTGCAGCCATCGTGAGACCAGCTGTTCCACCACCAACAACAACATAGTCGAAGGTAGCGGAAACACCAAAGGCGCCTGCAAGGGACCCGAGACCACCATTGAATTGGCGTTTCTCACTTTTCTGAGTTGGAGACGCGAGTGACAACTGGCAGCAAGCCAGAATGAAAGCAGCCTGTTCGAACTTCATGATGGCGGTGGATGGCTGTTGAAGAGGTGTGGATGCAAAAGCGCGAAGACAAGAAGGAAGACATTATATCCTCACGCAGCTTCTGGAATACTTAGGCCAGGCTCTCGAGTGCCGGAATTTTTGAACCAAGGGAGAACTACTGACGGCCAGTTTTGCTGCTAGGTACTAGTAGTTGATCTGATCTCGTTCTTGGGCTTGCTTAGTTCCTCTAGCTAAGAAGGATCAAGGCGCCAAGATATCAGCAAAGTGGTGTGATCAAGTCCACAAGCTCTCTAGTTGTGTTGCCGGCTCGAAGCTTAGACTAGGTATCAGAAGAACATGCTGCTTTTGAAATCATACGACTCATAAGAGTCATAGGGCAGCTCCCGGTGGTGATAATTATCCGCACATCTAAAATCTTCCTCCTCGAAAACGTCTTATAGAACCTCAACAGTACGAGTGGATCGTTTGAAAGCTAGATCAAATTGTTGCTTTACTTCTTTCGAATAAACCCACTCTTTCTAGCACAATTTCGATCAGACAATTGTATCATGAAAGTATGTTGAAATAAAGGTCTTGTTTAGCTATTCCGCGTTTTCGCCTGTTTGGTGTGCGCCTAATTACGACCACCGAGAGGGCGGTTTCTCATCGCGCTTTATCCACGATAGAAGGAGAGTAGCTCGTAGATAGAATATTACCTCCAAGAAGCTCTGGACCGAGACCGTATTCTCGGAAAAAGAATCCGTCGAGGGTCTTCATCATGCTTAGTTGCTGCTAGGCGCCGGGTATGTATGGCCCTAGGCAGTGAACAAAGCTCCTTTGAGATAACCTTGAAGGCCGATCACCTCTACATATCACTTCGGACGGGGCAGAAAGATCTAATGTAAAGTAAATGATATCTTGATCAACACTCACTGTCTGTGCATTTCCTGATAACTTCTATAGAACCAGAGCAAAGTATATCAGTCCATCTGTTGAGATCCTTACGCGTTACTCCTTGAGAGAGACTCGAGAGTAGGGCTGTGGCATAGTGCACGGACTAGAATTGTGGATCAACTACATCAAATACGAAGTATTTGATATCTGTGCACACTACCTACTAAGTACATAGGTAGATACGGTAGATACTCCGTGATATCAGATGAAAGCCGTGGGTCTTTGCGTCAAGCACAGACTCAATCCTGCATGAGACATTTGCTGGATTAGGAATTGAGCAAGAGCAAGAGCGAGCCCAACGGAACTCATCGGAGAATGTCTCCGTATGCTCCACATCCTGTCAATTGCCGAATAACCCCAGGCGGAAGTAAACAATAGAAGCTACTCCAAGCACCGTCCATATTGATGCAAATAGTGCCCTTCCCTGCAGTATCAAAGCCACTGCTCCCTCCATCCACCAGCCCTCTTCATCTATCTTGCAAACTACTCTCACCCCCCTTCAATAAACCCTTCACCCACGCGATACCGTCCTCGGCCCAAACATGCCGACTCGGCTTAAATCCCTCCATCTCAAGACTCTCTCTATCCAGAGTCCCACTCGCAACATCAAAATATGGACCCCATGCATTTTTGATCGCCAGCTCTCCAGGCGGGCCTGAATAGTAAAATGTCAAATGCGTTCCACACTTACCACAAAACGTCCTGTTCGACGTCTCTGAACTCTCGAAATGCGTCACGTGCGTCTGTTCCTGGACTCTCTTGTCGGGCATGAGATATCCCATCATCGTGGGCTTGATAACTTGGAGTTGATCAGGTGATGGAGTGCGGGGTTGAAGTTCGAATTGAACCCAGGACTGGGGAACAATGATCCAGGACTCGATTATGGCGCCTGCGATACGACGGCAGGATGTGCAGTGGTCGAGGGATATCATGGGGAGGCGTGAAGAGACTTTGGTAGGTGGGTGGATCTCAACATTTGTGTTGGGATCGACTTTTGGTCGTGAGGAGAGGGAGGGGATGGAGATTGTGTAGCGGATTGCGCTGCAGAAACATCCGCCTTTGAGCTCGAATGGTGTTTCTGGGAGGGTAGACATGTTGTGTCTTTGTAGTGTTTTGCATTGAAGTATATTTCGGGTTTGGAGGACTCTTGCAGACGACTACAAATTCCAGATAGGCGGGGTGGGAAGTTGTTTGTCCGTGATGATTCGTGACTCAATAGTGATACCAGATGGTTACATATTGAGTACCATCTCGAAAAGGTAGGCAGCAGCTAAAAGAAATGACTGAAATCCGAACATCGATTCTTTCTACATTGGCTTTGCCTTGATTTCTTTCTAAATTTCACGTTTTCCTATATAAGTTTTTCTCGACTACTTAGCTCAAATGTGATTTAATTTCTTGCAGTTTCCCCTTCTAGAGGCTCTACTGAGTACACTTTCTTACTTATAATTGCATTTGCTGTGTCATAAATCACAATATTCAGCTCTGGCTCATTCTACATTCCACTTTATGCCCCCGATCAGTAATTAGCGAGAGACGGAACAGAAGGTTTACGGTACAGTATTCCTTTTGACCATCGTTCTCGTATACCCGTTCGGCAGAAATATCAGATAGTAACAAATGATACTTGGGTCGTCAGAATGCGAACTTCTGAAATTCTAAACCCGCCTCTCAAAGTCATGATGGAAAGATAGAACTTTAATTAATTATGAGTCACGATTGAAACTCACAATGCGATGCAGCTAGATCGAGGATGTGCAATTTAACCATTGATATTCTGTGTTTGTTTCTCCACTTTCGTAGGTTGCGAAGTGGGCTAGCCTCGCTGATGCAAAGAAAGGACTGTATAGCTTTAAGTAGGCGAGGACCAGGTCAATAATGTGGCATCAGCTGAAACTCAAGCACTACGAGGCCTTGGCGGATACTCGATCTAGCAATTTTCTAAGATCGACAGTTCCCCGAGCTCCAAAATCGTGCTCTCGTAGATATGTTTAATTTCCAGTGATGGGATATAGCTGGACGAAATCCACTTATTCGGCTCATCAAGGCTTTGCTGCCTGTTGCTGTCTCCTATCTGACGGTAGATAATTTCTCACGACTTGATATCCTCAAAGTCCATTATACATTATTCATCAGAGCAATTATATCACGCATCAACCAAAATCGGAAACTAGCAACACTACCATCATCCCACCATCTCATCTCGCCATGTCTCTGCTAACCACTACCCCGATACCTCACGAGCAAGCCAGCTCCAAATCACTCATGCCCAGGGAAAAACTGCAAAAACAATCCCACCTTATGCCAGAACATCTACCACAACCCACGTGCTCCGTAAAATGCTACTCCATGCCCTACACCGACAACGCAGGTGTCGAGCGGTAGATCTGGCTACCTAAAGGTACGATGGAGATAGCTTGTAAGTATTTTGAGAAAAGGGGATTGGAAGGCGCCGGGGAAGTGGCCGACTTTATGGTGAGTTCATCATGTCTTGTCTTTTGTGTTGAATTTGTGGTGAATTTTCAGAGAGGAATTACTGATGTGAGGTTTGGACAGTTGGTCAGGGATATGTAGATGAAGGGGAGAAGGAGGAGAAGGAGGAGAAGGAGAGGAAGGAGTGGGAATGGCTTAATGCTGTGGATGATGGGAAGAAGGATGAGCCGAGCAACAAGCGCTGAAGCTGGAAGCTTGGAGAAGTAGGCCGTAACAATTTTGCTTTGATATTATCGGTTTGAGCTTTTGAGATTGAACAGAGCGAATTGAAAGATATTTCCCGTGTGGGAAGAGCAGATTTATACAGACCAATGTTCCAACACCCTGCAAGGACACGGAAATATCAAAGCTCACTCCTCTACCTCTGGAGAATTTTGAATTCGTTGTGACTTCTGAAGTGTTATTGTTTCTCCATTCTTGAATTTCTAGCAATACTAAGTACCTAGTATTTGACTCACCTTTCCCTTCCCGATCCTCCTCCTGTAATAAACCCCAATACCTTGGCCCGTCCCAGGTTCCGACGCTAACATTTTTCTCATGTGCAGAAAATCATATTTCCGCCTAAAATAAATTCACAGAGCCATCCTCATTCTCTCCAATCCAAAATCCCGGCATCTCCTCAGCTATGTCCCACAAAACCCATTCCCAATTAAACACACGAAATTTCTTCAAAGCCTAAGCGAGCATCCCAAAAATAAATATGGAAAGATACACACAAGTCGACCATCCCTGCTTATCTCACAGCAACAATTTCTCCTTCCTTTATACCTCATCCTACTCAAACACCGTCCATGCATCCATCCAATCCCACCCACCTCAAAAAGTCACACGTAAGTGGGTTTCCCCCGAAAAACGCAAGATAGTGGATTCTCTTACCCAACTTCTCTCGCTTCTCACAATTCGCAACTCCACATCACATCACACATCCAATATCCCCTTAATAAAAGTTCTAAAAAGCAAAACTTGACATCTGTAAACAAGAAAAAGATCGCGTAAGTAGACACCACATTATCTGGATATTTGGGGAGCCTGTGTCAATAATATTTATAGTTAGCTCAGTTGGTTAGAGCGTGGTGCTAATAACGCCAAGGTCGCGAGTTCGACCCTCGTAGTGATCAGATTTCTTGTGATGATTTCCTCTCTTTTTTTGGAGGCGGTGGGGGTTTGCTGAAGCTACTTTTTAGCTTTTGCTTGCTCTTAAGAAATGTGAGGATGTAGATGCGCATGTAAATGTGAATGCACTTGTGTGACAATAATGTCTCCGGTTGACCACAATTTGTATGTTACCATTATTGATAATGCTTTGTGAGTCGTCAATTGGCTGACCTTTGGAAACAAAATATTGCAAGAAAAGCTTCCGATGGGACATCACGGATAATATATCGACCAGGTAGCACACTGGAGTAGTCATCACATATCATTATGCTATCCTTCATCTAATGTTACCTTTGCCATCTCTTCCAAAACTTCCACTCACCCCATTCACTCTCTTGTCCTCTCTCCCTCTTTGATCCGCGATCTCTCCCTCTTACCCTCCAGTAGTATATAGGAATGCCTATCCCTATAAACGCCATCACAACCAGTGTCTGCACGGGCTCCGCAAACACCGCCCTACTCAAGAGGAACAAACTAACACAACAAAATATGATCGGCGTCGTGATCCAGGTCCTATACGGCCTCTCAAGGTTTGGCTCCCTCACCCTCAAGATAATCAACCCAAGCACCGTGAAAAAGTAAAACGTATAACCCGCGACACCGTAGAATGTGACCAAGGTGCCAAACTCGCCAACGACGATATAGCCGGCTGTCAAACCTGCGTTGAGGAGCATAGCGTTCACGGGCGTGAAGAAGAGCCCGGTCTCTGAGTCGCCGAACCAGCGAGCTAGGTTTTTGGAGAAGATGTTTCGGGTTTGTAGAGTGTCAATGTTGGGTTCGGCACTGTTTCCTAGACCGATCTTTCCAAAAATGGCAGGCAAAAGTCCTTCTTTTCCGGCTACATATACAAGACGTCCAGAAGTGAATGTAGTAGCGTTCAGGGCGCCGAAACAGGACGCTGACACTATGAGGGCGAGAATGAGTGATCCAACGGGTCCGAAGACTTTGTGGCCGAACTGGACGGCGACAGTGTTGGAGCTGTTGATGGTGTCGAGAGGGAGGACAAAGAAATATGCGATATTGGCGAGGAGATAGGAGAGGATTACCAGAGGCATCGCGGTGTGGATTACGCGAGGTAAATCTCGTGTTGGATTTCGAAACTCTCCTACAACGTAGTTGGTCTGCACCCACAGTTAGCAAACTTCATTTTACGCCACAGGAAAATTGTTACGTTGTCCCATCCATCAAAAGCCCAGAGCCCAGCGTAAAGAGCAACGGCCCACGAACTGGCACTGGTACTCGTCCCATCAAACCAGCCCTTCTCCTTCCAATCCTGATTCGCAGTTCCAGACACCGAAAACCCCGTGAGCGCAACCACGATCCCAATAACCGTAACACCAAGCAATGCGATGAATTTAAAGAACATAAACATATCTCCCATTTTCGTCCCAAGTCTCGTCGATATACAATTCAGTACTGTGACGGCGAACAATCCAACCAATGCTACGCCTTTATTGATCCAAGAATTCGCGTTTTCGGCTTCTGCTCCGATGAAGGCGCGGACAAGGTATTCGCCCATAATAATGGATATTATGGCGCTTGATCCAGGTTTCAATACCATGACTGCAGACCACGTAAACAAGAACCCAAACAACTCGCCGTATATTTTCGAAAGATAGACCTGCGGTCCTCCATTCAATGGTATAGCCCCCCCAAGTTCCGCATAACTCGAAGCACCCGTCCAAGCTAGTATTCCAGCAATGATCCATACGATCAATGATGCACCGGGTGATCCGGCGTTCGCAATGACTTGGCTTGGAGAAGAGAATATCCCAGATCCAATTATCAATCCCACTATTAACGACAACCCATTCAGATATGTAAGTGTTTTATGTTTCTCTAAAGATCCACCACCTAGCGTCGTCTGCCCATTCGAAGATGATATAGGGGCTCCAATTGGCGCATATCCATTTCCAGATGTCGAACTTAGGGGATAGAGGTTGGATGTGAAGTCAAAGACACTATTATTAGAAAAAGAGCGATGGCCTCTTGTGTTGGCAGCTGGATTACGTGCATCGAGTGGATCGTCTGCTTCCAGAGATTGTTTCCTGGAGGAGGATATTCCGGATCTAGAGGAGGACGAGGATGTTCGCGGACCGGGGGAACTGGATGCTAGACTGGCTAATTCTAAGGAGTCGCGGGCTTGAGGTTGGAGGTTTGAATAAGGTCGTGCCATGATGTTCGAACTTTATATCCTCATTCTCTGCTTACGGAGGAAGATAGGAAGGCTGAAGGGAAACGGTGGTATTATTCGTTGATCTGGGTCATGTCGTCGTAAAGGCTGAATAGGAAATGATTTGGGTTTTTAGGGAGTCGTAAGTATATACTTGAAGCAACTGGGAAGAGCTGGGGCAAAGTATCGAACTGACGTGATTTTAATTGAAGCTGATGAGTATAGTTGATAGGTGATGGTTGATGGTTAATGCTTGCAGAGTTGTCTATGTCTCAGTCGTGCCTGTCTTTGTTCCATCTTGACATTTACGGTCACTTGGTGCCATGGCCTGGCTACAGAAAATCCTTGGCAGAGCTTATCTCAGCCGCAGTGCACGGCCCCTTTTTAAATTTTAAACTTGCTTGGAGCTCCAGCTTCAAGCTCCAGCCCTAACCAGGACCCTTGAAGACAGAGTCTGAATTAACATGAGGCTATTCCCAACTTCCCAGCAATGGACCAACTTGATTGATCACGCATATCATTATTAAAATAGGATACGATGAAACATAGAGACGATGTATATGGCAATTGGCAGGATCGGACAAAGGGGCCCGCGCCCGGGATGCCAAAGGATTCTAGGTAGCCTAAACCTCAGTCGACGATTCAAACTCGCCTCCGTCCAACCTCTCGACCTGCCGGCTCTAGACAAGAAATGGCGCCTCGAATGGCAAAGGAGACGGCTAGAGAAACAACTCCTCGAAGCCGACGAAGACCAAGCTTTGAAGGATCATGTGGCAAGGGAGACGGAAGTACTTCGGTCTGTGGTAAAGAACCCAGAGAGATTGCCCAGGAAAGATGGTTACGATGAGAAGAAGCTGGACAACCTGACCAGAATCCATTTTGAGTATCTCAGGTCGTTGCAGAGGTCCAGGAGGTCCAATGGTAAAGGCAAGAAGTATGTTCTCCCCATGTTCCCATACCCGTCTGGAAACCTGCATTTGGGCCATCTCCGAGTTTACACCATATCAGATGTCCTTGCCAGATTTCACCGGATGCAGGGCCATCTAGTGCTCCATCCCATTGGCTGGGACGCATTTGGTTTGCCAGCAGAGAATGCAGCAATCGAAAGAGGTATCGCGCCGGGTAAATGGACAAAACAGAACATCCAGAAGATGAAATCGCAGCTGGAGGCTATGAATGGAGAATGGGATTGGGACAGAGTACGTGGCTTCCCTTCTGGAAATCGACTTTGCTGATTTCCTAGGAATTTGCGACATGCGATCCAACTTTCTACAAACATACACAAACTCTCTTCAGTGAACTCCACAAGGCTGGCCTGGCATATCAAGCAGAATCGTTAGTTAACTACGATCCTGTGGACAAGACGGTTCTGGCAAATGAACAGGTGGATTCCAAGGGATGTTCCTGGAGGTCCGGAGCCAAGGTCGAGAAGAGGATGTTGAAACAGTGGTTCTTTAAGATATCGGAATACAGGCAAGAATTGATTGATGGATTGGAGGAGTTGCAAAAGCATGGGGCTTGGCCGGAACGAGTTTTATCGATGCAGAAAAACTGGGTTGGAAAGTCGACAGGAGCTCGAATCAAGTTCTCGGTCGAGGCTTATGATAAGCAGATACAGTCCGATATCGAGGTTTTCACGACAAGACCGGATACTCTTTTTGGTGTTCAGTATCTTGCACTGGCTTCGTCGCATCCTATTGTTCAAGCCCTGGCTAAGACGGATACGGAGCTTCAATCTTTCCTCGATACAATGCCATATCTCCCACAAGACACCAAAGCGGGATATCTGCTTCCAATTCGAGCTATGAACCCGCTCGCATACGAAGAATCGATGTCGGATGCAACGAAAGCACCCCTCCCAGTTTACGTTGCACCCTATGTTCTTGGAGATTATGGAGATGGAGCTGTCATGGGAGTTCCAGGCCATGATACGCGAGACCATTGTTTTTGGAAACACAATCGTCTTGATGACCCAGTCCGTTTTGTGATATCTCAAACCCCGGATGAGGCAAACAGCATTGAACAAACAGGACCTTTCGTCCATCATGGTTATCTCACCAAGACTTGTGGACAATACGCCGGATTGACCACAGCGGAAGCCACGAAGACGATTGTTAGCCTCCTGAAGTCTAAGAAACTTGGAGAAGAAGCAGAAACCTGGCGCCTTCGAGATTGGCTGGTAAGCCGTCAACGTTATTGGGGTACCCCTATTCCAATCATCCATTGCACCAGCTGCGGACCCGTCCTCGTCCCAGAACATGACCTCCCAGTCGAACTTCCACCCGTAGAAAGCCACTGGGAGATAGGCAAAACAGGCAATCCACTCGAGCATGCCCACGACTGGATCAATGTACCATGTCCCAAATGTGGAGAGGCCGCAAAGCGAGACACAGATACTATGGACACATTTGTGGATTCCAGCTGGTACTTTATGCGATTTCCCGACTCGAAGAACTGCAAGCTACCTTTTGACCCTTGTACCGCGCACATGAATCTGCCAGTTGACCTATACATCGGAGGAGTTGAACATGCAATCCTTCATCTCCTTTATTCTCGATTCATCTACAAATTCTTTACCACAACGAGACTATGGCATAAAGACTCACCGCAACTCGGCGAACCATTCAAGAAATTCTTGGCGCAAGGAATGGTACATGGAAAGACGTATTCTGATCCGTCTACAGGCCGATTCCTTAAGCCTGAAGAAGTCGACCTGACGAACCCGTCGAAACCGATTGTTGTTGCGAGTAATGAGGTAGCGAACGTCAGCTTCGAAAAGATGTCAAAATC